TAGGGTTTAGGCTTGAGGGTGTAGGGTTGGGGGTTTAGGGTGTAGGGTTGGGGATTTAGGGTTGAGGGTTGAGGCTGTAGGGCTTGGGGTTCAGGGTGTAGAGTTTAGGACTGAGGGTTTAGGGTTGAGGGCTTAGGGTTTAGGGGTTACGCCTTACAATAAGCCTGGGAGGGATATCTTTTACTACGAAAGATGATATATAAGTCCTGCATTACCCATAATAAGGAATAGACCATAACTCCCATAGTTTAGCGTCCTTAAGGTAATGCAGGGTTTATATCATCAACAGTAGCTTTAGTGGATAATTAGAGTAGGCTTCGTTGTTGCATCTTTTACTTTAAGGGGCTACGACTCATTCTTCCGATGTGCGGGGCGTTTTTGGGGGTTCAGCATTTCTCGGCACTGCGAGAAGCCCTAAACCTGAACCCTTAAGTTTACTTGGAGGTTCATAGGTAGTTATATGTAGGGTTATAGGGTTCCTTTAAGGGTTCTGTAAGGGTTTAGGGTTTATAGTTTAGGGGTTCATGGGTAGTTATAAGTGGGGTTATAAGTAAGGTAACTGTAGTTATAAACCAATATTAGGGGGACTTATAGCCCCCATTTATAACTACCCATGAACCCTTAAGTTTAGGGTTTAGGGTTTGGGATCTTTCGCCGAAGCAAACTCGGCGATGCCTGACAAATCAGAGCCCCGGTTGTCTCCCCCCTGCAAGGCTCCTTCAGGTACTTGTACTGGAGGGCGCCAGGCACGTTCTTGATCTGAACAGATCGCAAGGATCTTACTTCTGCCCAGAGAACCCAATACCCCTTAATTAAGGAATATACCTTAAATCATAATATTAAGGCCCCTATAATGTAAGATAATTAAGGGGTGTCGGGTTCTCTGGGTGGTCCCTCGGTCCCAAACCTATGAGTCTCAAGGCTCAAAACAAATCGCTGCTTGCGATCGGGAGTTCTACAGGAAGGTGCTGCATCCGCGTGTTGGGTGCCACCAATTTTCTGCACCGGAAATATGATCGGAATGACCTGCTACTACTTCTGCTAATGTTAGTGCTACTGCTATTACTATTATTATTTCTACTACGACGACGACGACTACTACTAAATGGGCCTCTTGACCTTCCTTGAACTCCCTTGGTCTTTGTCTCCTCGCCCTGTATGCTTGAGACGTCTCTGCAGGGGGAGTCCTTGCAAAAAACGCAAGGGACTCTTGCGGTGGAAGGAACCCAGAATAGTAGGACCCTCCTTCTAAGAAATTGCAAAAGCCCTCTCATAAACCCCTTTGAGCCTAGATAAGTCAACAAAAACAACAAATGGAACTCTGAATCCGAAAGCGCACCCACTTCCCACATGAAGCCCAGCGCGGGCTGCAAGGCCTTGGCCTTGCGACGCGGCTTCCTGAAGCTTGCGGTTTGTGCTTTCAAACAATGTTTTTGCTTTTGTGTTTGTTTGTGTGTGTGTGTGTTTGTGTGTGTGTGTGTTTGTGTGTGTGTGTGTGTTTGTGTTTGGGGGGGGGTTGTAGGGCGGCGTGCCATAAATTCAGAGATCTCCGTACAACCATATTCAGGATCGATCACATCAGAAGAGACATGCCTTTCTCAAGGCAGTGTGGAAGATTTGGCTGCCATTTCTACTGCTCATTTCAACATGAAGTTTCGGTATACTATGTTAAAACATGCTGTTTTATGAAGCCTGTTCTCTTCTGCTTCTCATGCCGACCCACATAAAGCTTCCCGAAACCCTAAACCCCCAAATCCCTAAACCCTAAGCCCTAAACCCCAACATCCCTAAACCCCAAAACCCCAAAAAGCCCTAAACCCTAAAACCCCAAAAGCCCCAACATCCCTAAACCCCAAAAGCCCTAAAAGCCCTAAACCACTCAAACTTCCGAGCAGTGGGCGTCGACGACTTCGTGGTGGCTTCGGGCGGCGCCTCCTTTTCCTCCCTGCGCTCCGCCTCTTTGGGCCAAGGTTCCGGTCCTCAAAACTTTTTTTTTTTTTAAACGGGGTTTTGGTACGGGTTCCTTGAAAGGGCTCTATAAGGGCACTGTAGGATTTTGAGGGTTTTTAGGGCGAAATTAAGGGTTTAGGGTTTAGGGGTTTAGGGCTTAATTAGGGGTTTAGGGCTTAGGGTTTTGGGGTTCAGGGTTTAGCGTTTAGGGAGCCATTAACACATAGCCAATAGGAGCCATCGACACATAGGTCGATAGGAGCCCAAAGCCCTGATTGCAACCCTGATCCAACCCTATCCTACTGTTGATGATATAAAACCTGCATTACCTTAAGGACCCTAAACTATGCGAATTATGGTATATTTCTTATTATGGGTAATGCAGGATTTATATCATCAACCCTATCATGGGCCACTCGTAGGTCCAAGCCACCGGTCCCGACATCCTAAGTCCTTCGTAGCAACCTTGCAAGAACCCCGGGTAGAAATCCAACACCCGAACACGAAAACCGTTACTCCAAAGCTGAACAACCAGGTCTTTTGTAGGTCATCCCTCAATAGACCCTAAACCTTAAACCCCGAAGCCCTAAAACCTGTAAGCCCCAAACCTCCAAGCCGAACCCTTCTTCTTTCCCGCCTTGGGCTTCGGCGCCCGGCGGGTCGGCTTCGGCTCTGGATCGGACCTAGGGGTTTAGGGGTTTAGGGCTTGGGGCTTTGGGTTTAGGGGTTTAGGGGCTCCCTTAAATGGGGTTATAAGGGCCTACGATGGAGTCTTTTCCCTAGTTTGGCGGCCTTAGAGTAGGTATAAAGTGGGGTTGTAACTGGGGTTCCTTTAAGGGTTCGATAGGTTTAAGGTGTTGGGTCTAGGGTAGTTGCAAGTGGGTTTAGAAAGTAGGGTAGCGAGTATTATATCCATATTGCTGGACTTGTAACCCTACTAAATACTACGCATGAACCTCCAAATAGAGAGACATACGAGTGGATACCTACCTGGTGTAGAGGGTGTCCATGGGTTGCACGAGAAATACGAGTAGCAGCGATGAAAATTGGAATAACAGCTTGTAGGATTTAGGGTTTAGTATCGGATCTTGGTTGCTTAGAGGACATCGGTCGCGGGTAGAAGGTACCACTGCTACGGCTAGCACTACTACTTCCACCGTCACCACCACCACAACTGCCACTAGTGCTGCTGCTGCTACTACTGCTGCTGCTGCTGCTACTACTACTACTACTATACTACTACTACGACTACTACTACTACTACTACTACGACTACTACTACTACTACAACTACAGCAGGAGTGAGGCACAGTCGAACCAGTGGTGTGCAAACTTGGCTTTATGGTTCTTGTGGAAAGCCAAAACACTGATTGTGTGTCGCTCGTTATCATCTTTTCAGAATTTTTCACTCAAAAAAGTTGAGATGACAAGCCAGGACGACGACGCAATTCGTTAAGAATCCAACCAACTAGCTAGTCGTAGTGATTTCGCCCTAACGTGCTTTTTCATAAAGCTGTAAACAACACCAGGGACTATTCTATGTAAGAAGTTTCTAGATAACAACCAAGCAGCCTTTGTGCGGATGTCCTTCCTGGGGTCGTTCCTTCATTCCCCTAAGCCCTAAACCCTGAACCCCAAACCTTCATTCCCCCAAACCCTAAACCCTGAACCCTAAAACCCCTAAACCCTCGACCCTAATCCTTCATTCCCCTAAGCCCTAAATTTAGAAGCAAAGACGAAAGCACCGAAACCCCACGGGCCTTCTTTGCAGAAGCAGCGCTTTTGCTGCACTCGGACCGAAACTCGTGCGCCTGCAAAGAGAGTTCGCTCTCAGCAATCTGGTTCGGAAAGTCAGGCGAGAAACCTTGGAGCTTTACACTGGTTCCAAATCAAGTTTTTCTGTACAAACTTGATCGCCCTCTTTGAAAGTCAACTTCAGACCTTGTCTCAAGGTCTTCCACCAGTCGTCTGCACGGAGTGGCTTCGTGAGGATGTCTGCGAGTTGTGCCCATGTTGGCACCCATACGATCTTGCCACAATGCTTGAGGTCCTCTCTGATCCCAGCCAAATCAATGGCTAGGCGCTTGCATGTAGGAACGCGTGGCACTCCATCACGGGTCAGGTGATCGTATAGGCTTCTGCAGTCGCTGATAAACCTCAGTTTGAAGCGGGTGGTGGCTCTTGCCAACTTTCCTGTGAGAAGCGTCTCAAGGAACTTGACGATGAAGATCCCGGTCTCGGATGCCGTACAGCACGCCATTGTCTCTGCCGAAAAGGTAGAGCGACACACTCTCTCACATGCTCCACTTTTCCAGTCGAGAACACTTCCGTAGGTAGGCTGTCCCCGAAGCACCCGAGCTTCGGTGAAGACGTACAAGCAGCCCAGCTGGGATGCTATGGTAGAGTTGGCCTTTCTGGCCTTGGCGTCCTTCCGCACGAAGGGTCCATCCTTGATGAGCCCTTGTTCTTCTTCTTCGGGAGAAAGCTTGTAGTACGGATCCTCCTGCGACTGGGGAGCGTTGGCCCATCCGGCATCATGGTAACACAGCAGCACAGCGTCCTCGAAGTCCACCGGATGGAAAACGAGGCCTTCATCCTTGTGCGTCATGGCCTTCCGGGCGAGCTGGTTGGAAAACCGGATGTCGCCGAGGCATGGCTCTTTCTGCCTTTGCTGTGACATGGAAACCCCGGTCTGGAGGTCTGGGCGGGTCTGACTGGCCAACCATGAAAGAGCGCCAACCAGCGACAAATTGTCGTGCCTCTGAACTTCATCTGCTGGGCAGTGGTCGGGCTTCTCGCGGTCAACCTCAACTTGAAAGAGCCGCGTCGTCACGTAGCTTCCTTGGCTGATCTTGACCTTGTCGGGGAAAATCTCGATGTAGGAACCGACATACTCAAAGCAGTCCGCCTCCCATTCTCGGATAGGGAACTCTGCGCTGAGCCTCGCCTTCACCACTTCGCACAGTTCCGCGTCGCCCACCAGGAGAACGTCATCCACATGCACACCCAAATATGCTTGAGGAGCGCCTAGGACCTCGTCGTCCTTGGTCGCGTTGGTGATCACCTCTTGCACCATGAAAATGCAATGGTCCAGAGTGTTCTGGACGATCCTCCATCTCCTCTGGTCATACTGGATCTCGAGCTCTTTGACTGTGCGATGGAATTTGGCCCACCATGCCGAGGGGGAGTCTACAAGCCCGAATATTGGTTTCTGAATCCTGAGTAGTTGCTCAGGGTGGAGGTCGCCCAAACCGGTAGCAGGCTGACGCAAGAACAACTCGCGGTCTAGCTGTTCGCCGCACAGGAATGCCGCGGTGACGTCCCCGGCAAAGCCTCGCCATCCCTTTTTGAGGTTGCTGGCCAGCACTTGTAGTAGAAGATGTATGCCTTGGCGAGATATCGTCGGGGCGTGCGTCGCGAGCCCCTTCATAAGATCGGGATCTCGGTGTCCATGAATGACGAGGTGCGCCTTCGGCTTCCATCCCACCTCAGGGTTGGTTTTCCTTTGGCACCACAGCTTGTCCTTGTAGGCGAATCTGCTTCCAAGGATGCGATGCGGGCGATCCTGAGCTATCGCCCGGCTCTCCTCCACCGAAAGGGGTAGTAGTGCCTGATGGTCCACATGCTCGCGCCATTGCTTGAGTTCTGCTTGACGGAAAGCCTCGTGTTGGCTTTCTGGAATTAACCTCCACGGTATTTCCTTCTCCAGGGCCTTTTCGCGGCCTCTGGGGGTCTTCGGGAGCTTCATCATGAACACCTCGTGATCCACCGACATGGCCTCATCGCTTGGCGGACCCTTGACACGGTGGCGCTTTGTCACCGGTGGCGGTTGTGTCGGATTGACACGGCGACGGGTTCCACCTTCGTCTTGCGGGGGATCGGCATCTCCAGGTTGAAGCTCTGGATCTTGTTCCACTTCCATGTCTTCATTCTCGAAGGTGTTCTCATCTGCGAAGTCCTGCTCGAGTAGCCGCTGTAGGTCCTCCTGAGTCGCCCGTAGGGCAAAAGCTGCCCCGAGCTCTTCCGCACTCGCTGTCCGGAGGTGCTCCGGCGCCACGAGATGACACCTCCCTGTGAAGGACACCCATGTGTTGGGTCCTTCCTTCCCTATCACCACTGCTGGGCCGTGCCACTCCCAGTTCTTATTGTTCTTGGGCTTGCAGTAGAAAAACACGTGAGCTCCGACTTCCAACTCTGGCCCTGCTACCCTCGATCTCTGCAACAAGCTGCGACGTAGTCGGGCATCGTTCTGGCATTTGAAGTAAGCTTCCTTCGCAGAGATACGCAGAGTGTGCTCGCGTGCTCGCTGGCGATCGTGACTGATGATGTGCTCGACGTGCTCATCTTGTGGGCCTGAGCGAAGGTCTTCAGGTAGCTTCGGATCGCGGCCCCACACGGCCTGGGCCGGGCTGAATCCACTGTCTCGGCGTAGAGTGTTCATCGCCGAGTTGACTGCGGTGATCACCATCCCAGCCTCGTCGAAGGTGGCTGTCTTTTCATCCACCAATCGAACCCAGATCTCCTTCCAGGTTCTGATCGCCCGTTCAACTGCACCGTTCTGCCAATGCGCTTGTCCCGCTATAGGCCGTAGGTGAGTTCCGTGCCATTCGCTGTACCGCCCCAAACCGGACTGTAGACCCGACTCAAGATCCAAGACAAGGGTTCCAGGAGCTCCAAAAGTGTTGCTCCAGATGGCACAAAAGGAAGCTTCCATTGTAGGCGTCGAATGACCAAGCAAAGGTCCAGCGGAAATGAAACTGGTTCCAACATCGATGGCGATCATCAGCTCCACTTTCACCTTGTTCGTGTCGTAAACGTAGAAAGCGTCCACTGCCACCACCTGGTTGAAGTCCAAGAGGTTGGGGAGCTTGGCCGGTTTGGCCGACGATCCCCTTTGGGACCTCTCGCATACTTGGCATCGTAGGCGTTTGCAGGCCTCAACGACACTGGGGTCTGCTCCTGCAAGGCGTAAATGTCTCGCCAGGTCTACGTTGCTTGGGTGACCAAGATTCTGGTGGAGTCGCTTGAGTGAGCTCCTGACCTCGGGAGCAATGGTTTTGCCCTTCTCAAACGTGATGGCGGCTGCTCCTCTCGAGGAGTTCGCTGCATCCTCGTCCCTCTCCTCCTGGTTGAGGTGTTGCGCCATGTACTGCTCGAGGATCGGATGCGAGGGGTCTGTAGACGTAGGCGTCGGGTGGTAGAAGATGTCGTTGATACGAACGACGTTGGGTTCTGTATCTCGTCTCACACATCGGTCCTCATATCGGTCCAACAACTCCTTCATCGTGCTGCTGTTCCAGCAGGGATCATCTCTTGGAGCTTCCAGAGCCAGTTGCCTCCCTTTCTCGACGTGCTCATAGAGAATTTCCGCAATCTCGGCGAGGAAGATGTTCGCTTTGTCCCCGTGCACCCAGATCACCGCGGGGTCAAAGGCCTCCACTGTCTCCTGCACCATACTCGTGTTGACGTCCTGGCTCTCGTCGAACTCGTAGGCGAAGGGTTCGGCGGTGTAGTACTGCATGTCCGCAGCTTCAATCGTCTTGGTCACTCCCCCGATCTCAAAGATGCAAACGGCTTGGGCCGCACGTGCTAAAGGGAAACTGGTAGTAGAGCACGACATGGCTGTAGACGTACACCACGTGGTCAAGAGTGCAAGCCTGCCCGCTTTTCTCCATAGAGACTTCCTCGTGCTCTTCTGCGGCCTGAAACCTCGATCTGCTCCAGGTAGTTGTCCTCGCTGAGTAGGAAGGCCACGAAGTGGAAAACGTAGTTCTCGGAGTTCATCTCTGAGCCGAGGATCTGTATCTGGATAGCCCCGAGAAGCATAGCACGATAGAGTCCATCGCTCTCCTCTCCAGGGCTGGGTCGCGTGCCGGGCCTTGCCGTCGAAGGTGTAGACTTGCTCTTTGGTGCTCACCGTCTTGCCGTAGCGGACGGTGCCTGCTGCATCAACTCGTTGCACCGCGCCTGGAGTGCCGGGACCAAAATCTGCATCTTCGATCCACAATTCTCCACCTTCGAACTTGCCAAAGGAAACCGTGGCCACAGGAACATTCGGGAGATTGTGGGGATCTGTGTGCACCTCGGTGGCAGAATTGTAGAAGATGACGAACGACGTCCACGCCCCTTGGTGCTTGCTCTTCATAAAGGCGTTCACGTATTTGGTTGTCCACGGCAAAGAACGCGACCGCTTCGACAAGCCCCTGAAATTGCCGTGCGTGTACATGCCGCCAAGGAAGTACTCGAACCTTAGGCCACCTGATCTTCGGAGGGCCTTCCCTTTCTTTGCCTTGGTGAGGGGGAGGTTCTTCACGATCTCAAGGAGGTCGTCGTAGAGGAAGTCCTGATTATTGAGCTTCGCCTTGGCCAGCTGCTCACACTCCTTTTCTTTTGAACTCCGTAGTCCTCGGCTTGCATTGCCCACTCCGGTGGTCTCACGCTGGAATACATCCCCGCTGCCTCCAGAGTTTATATCGTCCACGTGGTCGCCTCCGATCACCGCCATCGTCTCGTTCGCATTGATCCCGAGGAGGTCGTGCATGATGTCGTCGGTGTCGTCCTCGGCGATGGCCTCGTCGTAGTCCTCGAAGTCTCCATCTTGGTCGCTCATGCCGTAGGAATACTCCAAAACGTCCTCCTTGTCAGGCTCGCACTCGTAGTAGACCTCCTCTTCCTCGTGGCCCCCGCTCTCCGCCTCAGCGATCTCCTTCATTGGCTCCCGGGAGGGAGTCCGTGCTTGTCCTTGAGAACGGCCAGCCTTTCCTCCAAATACCTCACTTCGTCGTTCACCTCGGCGGGGATATCCTGCTCCATGTGGGCCACCAGAGCCCCATCCTTCTCGAACGGTCTCCTCCGCGGTGGCGTCCTCGGGGCCTGGGCGGGAGCCGCCTTCGATTTGGGCCTCGTCGTGCTGAGCGTCTCCTTGGTCACCATGTCCCATGATGTAGTAGAGCTCGCGTCCTCGACGTAGGGAATCGTTGCATTCTCCTCCGGGTCCAAGTAGCCCGTCGCGCTCGACGGGGATGCCCTGCTCAACGGCGTTTCCCGCCATCGGTGCAACTCCCCTTGCCACCAATTCGCGAACATCACCAGGTCCTCGGAGGGATTGTCGTTGCTGTTCACTTCTCTCAGGGCCCAGGTGCGGTAGCTCTCGGGGGTCTCGCTGAACATCTTGCCCTTGAACCTTCCGAAACCCAGAATGGACGAGGGCCCCATCCCGTTCTGGTCGCGCAAGATCCTCATGATCGTCCCCTTCGTCGCGTACGGCGGGAGGTGGTAGCCCAACTCCATTGCTCTCTCCTTCAGCTGATCCACCGTCATCTTGCTCATCCCACTGTCGGCTGGGTGGTTGCCCGACGGGTTCTTTCTGTCTTCCTGGATGAGGGAGCGGATCTCGACCGTGGTCCAGCTGCTGGAGAACCATAGGTTTCGCGCCGTGGCCTCCGCAATCAGCTCGGCCTTCGTGAACTCGGAGAGAACTTTCGCTCGCGTGACCACGGGAGCCGTGAGAAGGTCGCTCCTGGAGGCCATCGAGCGAAGGCAAAAGTCGCGGGGTGCTCGTGGGCATCTGCTTGCGTCTACGAAAGACAGTCCTTCCAACCCAAAGCATCGGCAAAGCTGAATCATCTGCACTGCTGTCCCATGTGCCGTGAATAGCTGCAAATTCCCTGTGTGTTTTACACGAAATGGCATTGATCGTACGTACCGTACCCAGACTCTGCAGCAGTGATTGTTTGTGGTAGGAGTTTGTGGTTTTCCAGTAGAGGGGGCTGAAGAAGGCTCTGCGGGGAATTACATGTACTCGTACAAGCATGTCTTCATTCTCGACCCAGAAGTCATTGGAGATGTTTGTTGTAGACCACCATGACGCGAAGGTTTCGGGATTGAAGGTCACATCGAGAAGGAGGTTCTTCGTGGCGTTCCCAATCTTCTTAGGGTAAAAGATGCTGTTGAAGGAGCCTGAGGAACCTCGGGGATCTCGTTCAAGAGAAGCATCCAGCTCATCAGGGTTGTGGCCTGGAACATCACGAGAGCTCACCATCCAAATAGACGAACACAGATCATCTTCATCACGTTCATCGCCCACCGACCCTTGAAACCCTAGACCCTCAGGAACGCCCATGTATGCCGCCTCGCGTGGAAAGATCTGAATCTCCTGAACATCCCAAATGGAACTTGTGCCATCTGACTTGGGCAGAACGGCTGGCTTCACGACAAAAGCGGGGTGGCCGGAATCAGTCAAGGAGAGAGCCATGTTCCTCACTCCTAGCTTCTTGAAGGAAGCCGTGTTGTCCTCCACATCAAGCACCATCCCCATTTTGCCGAGGGCTCCCCTCGACACCAAAAGCGGGACCTCGCCATTGACCACCGCCACTCGCAAAGCGATCTTATGTCCACCGATCTCGAATCCAAGGATCACGCCGTAGGCTGCCATGAACACCTTCGAAGCACCAAACTTGAAAGCCTCTTTACAGGAAATGAAGAGAGGCTCCGTTCCTTGCCTCCGGGTCTCCGCAATGTAAGAGTCGATCCAACTGGCGCCCACCACCGACCTTGAACATGCAGTATCGGTGATGGCCAAAAAGTCCTGAGGCTTGCCGGGCTCAATCTCCCAAGTGACATGGACCACGTGGCATGGATAATTGGCTCTCACGGGGTCCTTAGGCGAGGCTGCTGAGGAAGGGCTCTGGGTCGCGCTGGTAGAAGTCGTTGTAGCGCCGGCCCCTTTGTTGAGCGGGCAAATGGCGTCCTTGTGCCAATGCCCGCGCCTCTTACAGCCCGCGCAAAACGAGCGGGCTTTTGCAGCTTTGAGCTTCTCGGCTGCAAGGGACTTGAGGCTTTCTGGATCGCTTCCCCTCAGCTTTGCACTCTCCCTGTACTTCTGCTTAGCTGTAGCATGTGTCATGTAAGCCTGATATAGGTCCTGAGCGACTTCCTCAGGTACAGGTCCATCCTCGTCGGCATCATCCTCAGGGGCCTCGTCGATGTCGAAGAGGTCGTTGTCCTCGGCATCGGCCATGTTCGCCGAGAAGGGCTTCTTGTTGTTGTTCCACTCCTTGCGGGGAGCTCGGCTCTGAGTTTCCCATGGTTTCCTGAGGCCACGATCATGAACAATGGCAGCTTGTTGGAGAGCTTTTAGCGAATACTGGTTGCCTACCGAAGCAAGCAAATTGAGTTCCGCCTGCTCCTCTAGGCCCATACGGTCCACGAACACCCAAGCTGCCGCCACATCGGGGAGGCAGCAGCCGACTTCGAGCAGTCGAGAGTGAGCCCTATCGAAGTCTGCCATATAGTCCCGCACCGTCTGGTTCGCTTTACGGCGAAGACTCCTGAAGAATCCCGACAAGCTTCGGCCCACCTGCGTGACTTGAACATCAAGGTACCTTTCTCTCACCCACTCGACCAGATAGTCCACGCCGTTGCGTGAAGCCAGCTGGTCCATGTCCAATCTTTCTGCATCAATCCAGGCCTTGTCCTTCAGGTGCTGGTACAGGGTGAGGCCTTGTTGTTCCTCTCCGAGGCGGGTCATTCGCCTCCATGCTGCGACCTGTCTCAAATAAGACCTGGCCGTCGTCCCGATGTCATCGCCGCTGTCGCCAGTGTTTCCAGAGAAAGAGGGAACCACCATTCGCTCTGAGGGACCTCTGGTCGCGTCGAGTTTCTGTCCATTGTAGCTCTTGCCTTGGGCATCCGAAGAGGGTCCCCATCCGCCAGGGAGGCTTCCCTCGCGTGAGCTCCAAACTTCTCCTCCGGAAACTTGATGACCCCATTGGCCTGCAGCAGGAAGGTCCTTTGAATCCCGCTCATTCCCAGCTCCATCTGCAGAGCCTGGACCAGAAGAGACCGATCCCCAAGTCTGCCACTCGCGATGGCCTCCGTTGTTGCCGTAGCCGTGGGCGTTGTCCTGAGCCCACCCAGAAACGTTTCATCCACGCTCGGCTCTATCCCAAGAGTGACCCCACCGGCCGGTCTGCCAGCCTTCACTCCATCCACTCCAGGTTTGTCCCGGAGCCCATTGTCTCCAACCATCATCCTGATCGTCACGAGGAGGGCGGCCTTCAGCATCACCTTGAGGCACACCGTCACCGCCATCACCATGTTCTGGCGGTGAATCGTCACGAGGTTGGGTGACATCATCCCATTGGGAGTGCGCATGAGAACTGGTGGTAGCACCGCTAGGCGACATCGCAAGTTGGGCACAGCCCGAGAACAAAACTACTGGATCCTAGGAGCGCTAATCGCTCCGCTACCAATTTAGAAGCAAAGACGAAAGCACCGAAACCCCACGGGCCTTCTTTGCAGAAGCAGCGCTTTTGCTGCACTCGGACCGAAACTCGTGCGCCTGCAAAGAGAGTTCGCTCTCAGCAATCTGGTTCGGAAAGTCAGGCGAGAAACCTTGGAGCTTTACACTAAACCCTGAACCCTACAACCCTAGACCCTAAACCTTCATTCTCCCAAGCCCTAAAACCCAAAACCCTAAACCCCGTCGCAGGTCGCTTGGGAAAGCTCACTCTGAGCTGAAGACGGCAGGTTCTGGCAAAGCAGCTCTAAGGCGGTTGGCGGCCTGGGCGGCTCTTGGACATAGTCATGATCATAGTGATACGTGGTAATTGTAATAGTTAAATAGTCATGATCATAGTGATAAGTGGTAGTTGTAACAGTTCAGCATGAATGCAGCTACTGCGTGTCATTAGGACTTGCTTTCGGCTCGTGCTCTAGTCGTCTTGATACTGCTGTTCGGTGCCTAAGCCATAAACTCTAAACTTATTTTCTCTCTTGTCTTTCCGCTTGCCGGTTCACCACAAATGGCATGCCTATCCTGGTTGGCCCTGTAAAGCCTCTGAAACATATTAGTAAATAGGGTCCTCTTAAGCCCAATAAGGGAGAATATAAAATATCCCAAAGGCCTACCTAGCCTATCACACGGATACAGATGGTGATCCCACCACTGCCGCGGTCTGACACATGCCATATTGCGAGATGACTGTCAGTGCTACTCTGCTACTGCTGCTGCCTTCAGCACAATGGCTCTTCACTACGGTGACTTTTAGAGCGCTGTTGCTCATTATAAGTATGGTTTAGGGCTTAGGGTTTAGGATTTAGGGTTTAGGCTTCATGGGTAGTTATAAGTATGGTTATAAGTCCCCTAATTGTCAAGTATTGAGCCCGGCTTGACCACATCCAGGCGTCGAGAAATCGGTTTGTTTGTTGAGGGTTTCAGGGTCCAGCGAATGTTGAGTGAAAGCTGCTACGACACAGGTGCATGGTACAGTACTACTACTTTCATGTGTAGCAGTGCTGGTACAAGTGCTCAACAAAGGCAACACAACAAGAACAATCACACTTCATCAGCCTGTCTGAATATTTGGTGCGACTGTTCCCTTCTTGTCCCAACTCAAATGTGCCAGCCGCAATACTCTATATATATATATATGTATATATATATATATATAGATGCCACAGCCCTATTAAACTTGCTAAGGTACCCCATAAAAAAAGTCCCCGGCCTCGTGGGCAAATCCTCGAGCTCCTGGGCCGTGCGCTTGCGGCCACGGCCGTTGGCCTCGGACGCCCGCTCGCACGCAAGAAGCCATAAAACCCCTAAACCCCAAAACCCCTAAACCCTAAACCCCTAAACTCCCTAAACCCTAAACCCCTAAACCTTAAAACCCCTAAACCCAGAACCCCCAAAACCCCTAAACTCCCTAAACTCCCTAAACCCCTAAACTCCCTAAACTCCCTAAGAATAGCCAGGTGGTGGGCTCCTCTGCCCCCGTGTCCTACGTTTCGGGTGGCATGCGAGTAGTTTTCTACATTCGGGTCCCGGTTTTTAGGTCCCCCAACCTAGTACGGCACCCTTTACTAAAAGGAGCCCAACCGGGACGCTAATTTAGGGAACTACCCATGTACCAAGGCTTCAACTTTTCGGCGGCAGCTTTAACCACCGAAGCTTTTGTTAAGATGGTGCCTCTGCAAGCTCTCGATCTCACGGAAACAGCTTCGCTACCCTTTTAGGGCCTATAAAGGGGTCCCAAGAAGGGGGGGCCTAGGGGGTCCCAAGAAAGGGGTTCTACAAGGTACAAGAGGTGTAGCCATCAAAAAAGTCTCGAAATCACGATTCCTTAGCTTCTTAGGCTTTGGAAGTGTCGAGTGCATGAGTCGTTGAGCAGCAGGGCCGAGACTGTCTGCCAATCCCTTACATACTCCCTAAATTAGGGTCCCGGTTGGGTTCCTTCAAAAAAGGGTGCCCCACTATATTGGGGACCTAAAAGGGGACCCGAATTGAGAAAACCATCGGATGAACAGCCAGCATGGGGCACTCAGACCTAAACGGTCCCTGAACCTCGAGTCAGGCCAGGAATATCATAACATCAACCTGAGCATACCTGGGTATGAGCGAGGGTCCGGCATTGAGATTTCGTACTTGGACTGTATGTGTGGGGATGATAGCTAGAAAGACTCTAGTTAAACGCTGAACTGCATAGCCGTATTTCCATGCTTCAAGTGCGAAACCGCAAACCCAACACCGAAAATCTGAAAACCCTAAACCCCAAAGCCCTTAAACGCCTATACTCCAAAGCGCTAAAACCCTAAACCTCCCCCAATAAAACACCTTAAACCCTGGGCCCCCTCAAGCGACACCCTCCGGGAAGCAGACCTCGAGATCCTGTCTCGGCACTTCATGTAACAGTTTAGGGTTTAGGGTTTAGGAGTGCCCTATTCCGAAGGGCCATATATAGAATGTAAGGTAACTAAGCTAAAAAAGGGTTCTATACGGCGGTTCCTTAACCACTGGGGTGGCTTATTTTGGTGTTCCTGATCATAAAAGGTCATAATTTGGATAAAGGGCCACACGTTCTAGACAGATGTCTTCCACAAGATTGGAGATGATTCCGGATTTGAGGTTCTCAAGGGTCTTCAAAACGTGGCATCCTGGAGTAAACCACCGGTCACGCATAGGACCTCAGACTTCGAACCCCTAAACCCTAAAGTCCCTAAACCCAAAACCCTCATGGAATCGTCCTAGAACTCTTGTAGAGCCTGGAAGGCTACTACCCTTTGGTTAGTGGCTTTACTACTGGTGTTCTCGGAAGCTGAACATTCGGAAGGCGATCATGGCTACCATCGCCTCTACTCTAGCAGCGAAAACAACACTAACACTGCTACCCATTGTTACCTCACCAGGACTTGGAGGTTCATGGGTAGTTATAAAGGGGGTAATAAGTCCCCTAAAATGGGTTATAATTACACTTACCCTACTTATAACCCCACTTGTAACTACCCTGGACCCACTTATAACTACCCATCATTACCTCACCAGTACTGATCATCGTCCGAAACTCTGTGCTTTCTCGTCCTTCCGTGCTTTCACCGCATCCTCCACATCCTTCCTGCGCACTTGGCTGGCGTCTTCACTCTCTCACACAGGGCGAAAACTCGTGGCATGTAGTGAAACCTTCAACATCCATGTAACACCCATGTAACACCCATAATTATAACACCACTGCTTAGTGAAGCTCCTCTACCACAAACTCTCAAGCTTTGTGTTCGTACCTCGTCACAACAAGTAAGCTTTACCCAATTCCGAACCTAGAGAGCCCCACATCCAATATTTTTAAGGGAATGTGTACTTTAGTATTAAAGCTTGATTTTAAGGTATCGGGTTTTTGGGTATCACAGCGGAAAGTTAAGGGGTTTTGAGCCGAGTGCTGCATCTTTTGGCTTCCACGAAGTTCAGCCTCGATAAGGTCCTAGCCTGGAGCCCATTCTTCATTTCGGGGTTCATGGGTTTCGAGGCCCTGTGCATAGAGAGCCGGTTTGTGTAGGACTTCTTATCCGGATTCATACGGATGTTCTGGGCACTGCCCCCCCCCTCGACATACGGGCGCTTCTATTAAGGGACCTGGATGACATTCATATTATAAGTATGATTCAACTGTTACTGACTGGGGCAGTATCCACTCGATGTTGGAACTTGAAGTTGCATGCGGCTCTGTGGGTGCTGGATTCCTTTTGAGATCCATGCGTTTTGGATTCCGGGCGATACTTGGAGGATCATGGAACTTAGT